AGCTCCATAAACTTCTTCAAATGCCTGGGTTGTGTCACTTGTATCCAGGCTGCAGAATAGCACGGAAAGCTAGGGACAATAACTGCAGGGGCCAGTCACCTTATCAAGTGACAGTCCCAGGAAAAGAGTAATATCTATTAGTCTCCACCTGACTCATACTATGAATGTCTGGAGGTCCGTGTCACCTTCATGTGTTCCTGAGGGTACCACATAGGTAATGGGTGTAATACAAGCTGTCCCTTGAATTTTTTCCCAGGCACATATGAGTTTACTGAGACTTGCAAGCTTCTTGGGACAAGAGAAATACCTTGGATATCTGGAAAACCCCTAGGTTTTGTGGGTTCAGCAATAAATATTTCCCCACCTGGGACTTCCTTGCCCACTAACATGAATGGCTTAGCTTGATTTTAGTACAATAAATTTTGAGATGCCAATAGCAGTTACGTGCTTGTATGTAATGCAGGTGGGATTACCGACTACCTGTTCTTGCAAAACAAAACTGAGATCTGAGAAAGTTAAGTTTAAAATGTTGGCAGGCTGCATCAGTGTAGGGAAACAGGTTCTTTATGTTTAAATCCTCAGATTTAACCACCTCAGACACCTACTATGTTTGCTCAGTGATTCATTCCAGTGACCTTTTGGCTTTTCTCCAGGTAACAATAAGAAATAAATGCATGGTCCAGCCTGACCGACACAGAAAGCACCACCTTCATTTCCAAAAAGGCTCTTCTCCCCACTCCTGTAATTTTACAGAACAAACACCTACAAAATAGGCATACAGGATTAGTACGTACATTGTTCAGTTTGAAAGGTAAAATCAGCTCCTCTCAAATGATAAATCTCAGCACATTCTCGAAAGGTTGGGAAGAAACTATTTTTGAAATGCCAGATCAGTCCTTATAAAGACTTTACTTAGTGCGGCTGCTAAAATCCTTGTGCTTTATTCTCCCTCGTCTTGCACCTTTTCAGAGTTCTTTACACCTTTCAGTGTGCCTGTCAAATGTTAGAGATCTGGTAGCATTTTAAATCCACTTTAACAAATGTAAATGATCCAAAGAAGGGTCAGGGAAAATCATAATGAATTAAAACCTTGTTTTTGTAGCTGAAAAGAGTGAGACAGGCTTACTTGATGAATGTTTTTTTTATCAGGCATATCGCAGAGCAGCAAACAACAGGAGCAGAATGAATAATTTGCAGCAAATAATTTATTTCACTAATTTAATTCATTTTTCATCCATGAAAAGAGAGCTTCTCTAATCTAAAAATTTCAATAGATAATTGTTGCCCTGTAACTCGTTTATGAGTAGCTTGCTGCAGTTATTAGGCCTCCTCAATTCAACTTCTGTTGATATATCTGGACTGGGCAAGCAGGTCAAACCACGCTCTGTGCCTGCTGGAAGCGATGCGTGCTGACAATTGAATTCCTACACACTGAATAAGAAAGACGGAGGGGGTTTCTTTCTGTGTCGGTGCTTTGGCTCAGAGAATGACACGTGGATTCGAGCTGACAGATGTGTTAAGTTTTGGCTGTGGTTCAGACTGGCTCCTGCAGGGAGGAGGAGGAGGCTCAGCTGGACTTCAAGACCTGCAGCCCGAGGGAAGGACTGGGTCGCTGGGCACCCACCTGCCAAGGGCAGCCTCAACCCCAGCAGGGATGCCCGGGATCTCCCGGGGGGATTCGGACCCTCACGGGGCTTGGTCCACAAGGTGTAGGTGAAACTCAAATATGGCTCCCCAGTGCCACCAGGCCCCACATGAGGGATGAGGGTCACACAGAGCACCCACAGGCCAGTGCCTGGGGACCGGCAGCGACAGCAGTGCTCGGAGGATGCTGGAGATGCAGCTTTGGCTCCTTCGTTTGCCACCTTTTCAGAGAGGACCTTCACCACTGGGTGGCTTTGTGCCAGTCTGGGAAGAGAGATTGCTCCTCTTGAGCTGTAGTCTGGCTCATACCGCACTCCTGAAGCTCAGCCAGCACCTCTGTCCCCCTGGCCGATGCACGCAGCTGCTCCCCAAGGAGCTATGGGCAGTAGCAGTGGATGAAGGGGCATGAATGGCTTAGGAGCCAACCCTAGGGAGATAACATCAGACTTCATGTGGAGAGGGGGGCTTAATGCAGAGGCAGGAGTCAGGCAACCTCTCGGCAAGCAGGCTGCGGTGTAGTCAACCCCCTACACTGAGCACAGCCCTGCTGCGCCTGGGACCATGGCGGCACCTTTGGCCTCTCTCCCCTCCTGGACTCTACAAAGTGTTTAGTGCTGTGTTTACACGTGCAAGCTCTAGAAAGTTCAAGGACCTGATATGACTGTCCAAGCAAGAAACGGTTAAAGTATGTCTGGCACGGATCTGCCCCACACTGACCAGCTAACGTTGACATTTCCCAGACATCAGATAGCCATCAGAGACCACTCCCAACACACAATTTTCAGGCAGCCACCTGTACTGGAGACTAAAAGGACTTCCTAGAATAGATGGAGATCAGTTGCCAGTTGTCCTCAATGCCTAGAAACATCCTTGGGCACATGTAAAACTGGTCTAGTACTGAGTTGTGCTGTCACCTGCTGCAGCTGGGCACCTGCTTTTTAGGTCTAGTGTATGCTAGACACTGTTGTGTGGCCCTCAGAGGCCACAGAACTAACACCAGGCTTGGAAGGATGGTGGCTCCTACTCCTTATAACCCTCTCACACACTTTGCGTTCTACCATGTCATTTTTGGTTTTTAAATGACACTCACAAGACTGGATCCAGCAAGACGGATCCAGCAAGAGATGTCAGCATCTAACATGCAACTTCAGCTAGATGCAGACTGTGGAGACCCACTCAAGACAAGAACATGTGATGAAAGTGTACTGTGGAAAAGTCAATCAGAGACCTAAAGGAGGATGGGGAATGGAACTATCTTATTCCTCCTCTTTTCCTCGGGGTATTGTGGGGAAAAAGCTTGCAGCCAGCTGGATGGGACTGCTTCAGCAGCTGATAGCAGAAGGTTCTGTGTGGAGGAAACACCACATAGAATCACAGAATGGTCTAGGTTGGAAGGGACCTTAAAGATCATCCAGTTCCAACCACCCTGCCATGAGCAGGGACACCTCCACTAGACCAGGTTGCTCAAAGCCCCATCCAGCCTGGCCTTGAACACCCCCAGGGATGGGACCTCCACACTTATCTGGGCAATTTGTTCCAGTTTCTCACCACTCTCATAGTGAAAATAATTACTTTGTGCCAATCACACGAAATGGGAAGCAGATAATCTGGAAGAAAGAGAAGCAATGAATGACAGAATTGTGGACAGAAAGATCAGATCATCCAGAGCAGTTACTCTTATTACTTGACTGCAGCCAGCTTTAGTAAAAGGAGCAGGAAAGACTTCGCTGTAAGAAGCCTTCAGGGTTTCCAAATCTAAGGTGGCGTTTAGTGGTTAGTGAGACAACCTCACAACCCCACCAGAAGATCCAGCACACTCTCTTTGGCAAATTAATCCAGCTACTGCAATGTGCTGTTTTATCCTTTGTAGCTCAATATTGCGAATCCATTTTCAAATCGTACCTTCTTTTATCCTTATATCCTGCTCTGCAATAAAGCCGGCTGCTTTAACACTGCAAGAAAACATGGGATTGCGTTCCTATGCGCGCCGTGGTTCCCAGCATGGATGTGGGGCCACTGCTGTAGCACCAGCATGAACTCCATGGACTTTCCCAGTGCATCCAAAGGGCAACGGTGTGTGACTTGCTGTCACGGACTGTAGCACCAGGGTGTGCGTGAGGGAGGCATGTTGTGGGCACTCACTGTCAACAGGAAACCTTCCTGATGCACATGGGTGGGAGCAGCTCACAGTCGCAGCACTGATGTACATCTTGTGTACGTAGCCATGAGTTAATGGAGGGAGTCTGAGCCTCAGCATGGAACACATCCATCATCCACAGCTGTTATTTCTGGCAACGGCTGAGTCTTTCAAAGCCCCTGATACAGCAGAACAAGGGTCCATCAAATGCGAAGTGAGTGAAACAAAATCTCTACCTTTTTTAGCACAACTCTAGATTTTGTATGATGATTTCCTAATACATTAGACTTCCTTCAGATTGATATGTCAAAAGCAAGAGGTTATGAAATGTCTGAACTAGATTGGTATCTAACTTCACCTCGTGAATCTGGTTTTATGTGCCTCTGTCTCCAGCACATTTATGTATGTCTCCACAACTATTATTTAAGATCAAACAAGTCCTTTCCCAGTTTATTTTCACCTCTCTTATTACTTTGGTTCTTTTTTCAAGTTCAAAATTTATACATCCTCAGACAATTTATTTTAGCAGATCTTTTAATTAATTCCTTATTACGAGATTTAATAGACTTATTAAGATGTGTTTTCTTTAAAAAAATCCAACACTGCAGCCCTCTATTGTGCTTAGAGTTGGAATAGTGATTAACAATACTCTGTACCAGCTGTTGTTCCTACTTGTTTGAAAGGAGAGCATGTGTAGCAATTTAGCATGTACCATTTCACAATATGAAAAGATTTTTATATGCATTAATATTTTTATTATGGGCAATCAATATAAGGAATATAATCAAATAATTCACAGTAAAAGTGGTTAAAAGCACTCTTATATGTGTGCTCAAAGAAGAGGAAAAAAATGAAATATTTTCTAGCGTGAAAAAGCTGTAAAGAAAACCAGTTGGAAAAAACCACAGAAAACATTTCATCAGTGTGCTGAAACAGTAATAAAAAATAAAACACTTTCATTGATCCTAGAAAACATTGCAACACTGAGGAAAATACAGGCTTCAGCGGAGCCTGCAATTCTCATGGGCTCTTGTAAGTATAGTTGTAATTTTCCTTCTCTCCATGAGTGGTACAGGACAAAGGAGAGGAAGGTGTGTAGGCAGTAGCAGAGGCAGAGTTCATATCTTCACAAATATGAAATTACCCATGCTGTACCCACGGAGGGGTCCTGTGGACATTTGACTTCATTAAGTCCTGCAGGACTGAGGGTTCTGGCGTGATGCCCTGGAGCACCTCGCTGATGCCTGCCTCCCGCAGCCTGCGGGCTCTTCAGGCTTACTACCTCTATCTCCCACAGAGAGGTGCTGGTCACAGTCCTGCTTGTGGCCAGGAAGGTAGGTAGGGACTGGAGGAGGTGGTGTTCCCTGGACAGTGTCCTGCTTGCACAGCCGGCACTGCGTGGAAGGATGAAAGCATGCAAATCTAGGGTGATGAAAGCCATTGTTTATCAGAGAACCTTTGCATTGTAGATCAGGCAAAAAGGAAAATCAAACCTGGTTTTCCACAGTGTCCTAATCACTGCTTTGAGAAGCGATGAGGGCCATGTTCTTACTTTCACTGTCTTTGAAAAAGAAGTCCAAGCCTCTTTGTGGCTCTACCTTGAAAAACTGATTTCAGCATCTCCATTTTTTCCTGTGTTATTTAGCCTTGTTTAGCAAAATGCTTGCTGAATTCAAGTGGAATCTACAAAGAGTTTTAAGTCAATCAAAACTACATTTTCTGGAGGATAAATGATGTGTCAGAAATAATTTGCTGGCCCTACTCTGGTTCTGTTGTCTGCCATTGGGCAAGTTGTTTACCTTCTTGCTACTTTTCTTGAGCTGTCTGGCAACCCATCATATTTCTTCACAGCTTACAAACAAGTCAAATAAAAAAACATTTTTAATTTGGCAAAAAAATTACAAATAAGCTTTTACATTAACTGAATGGTTCTAAAGCCAACTCACATGTTTCTAAGTGATTTGTCTAGACAATGGGTGAGTCAAGCCTTTTATCCATTCTGCTTTATACAATAATCGGTTCTGCTCAGTTAAGATTTCATTTTACTTTACCAAATTGAATGCCTTTCATTACTATATGCTGTTTAATTTAACATTGTGTTGACATTTTGCATACTAATTCACTTTGCTCAGGGTAGAGTCATAAGCCCATTTGAACACTGTGATACGTACAACACAGATTCATTGTACATACTAGTAGTATCCTCAAAGACGAGATTACAGAATCCAAGATATCCCATTCAGCGAAAAAAAAAAAAAAAAGGCTAAGAAGATGAAAGGAAGTTCAGTGATGAATGGGAAACGCTGCTGCCGAGATCTTCCTTTATTACCATTCTGTGGCATTTTCAATTGTTCTGTCCCAATGAGTAACGAGGGCTTCATCACTTTTGCTAAGCTTCACTGCAAATTGCTGCTGTGATTAACACAGGTTAATCTCAGGACAGGCAGGGGCTCCTGGTTCTGGCGATGGGAAGATTTCAACCATCCTCTGTAGTTACAGGGAATTCTCTTGGGTGACCTTGAGAAAGGAGCCCCTGCCCATGCCAGCGATAATGTTAAAACTTCACTTAATGGAAAACATCTCCCACGTACTCTAGCCCCAGTTTTAATTCCTCAATTCCCTCTAATCTTTTCCTTAGGCTTCTGTACACGCTTAGGGAGTGCACAGCTAAAAGACTAACCACCCAGCTGGTTGGGGTAGCCACAGTTACACTGCATCACGTGCCACGAATGAGCATAAAAACTCCTATCCCAACAGAAAGTTTGTGATTACACTAAAGATCAGAGTAGAAACCATGGTGCCTCCTGCTCTTCACATCTAAAATCGTGCCTAGTCATGCTAAATACTCTAGCATATAGCTGGGTTTACGAAAAAAAAAGCTAGTGTTATCAAAAATAGCTCCAATCTCTAAGCAATTTCTCCAGATTTCCTTTAGTTTGAAGCAAGCATGGATGCTATCAGACATTTGGAGTCAGGTGCTATTTGCAAACATCCCCATAAATGTGACCAGAATACACAATTATCAGTTCTTATGCATCCAAATGGTAGGGGAATTAATTACCTATATTTGGAAATGGGCTTTGCAGCTTATGGATGAGGTTTTAAAAGCAGTTGGCAATGGCTTACCAGAGGGGGTTTACCTTTGGCTTATTTGAAAACAGAGCTGGATACAGTAACATTAGCACCATAAATATTCTAAATAATTTTTTAATAATTAATACGCAGTTAGATTCTTCTCTCATGTTGCTCTTACACTGGTGGTATATTGAAGGCAAAATCGGGCTCTTCATGTTTTATACATTTTGCAATAAATTCCTAATGTATTTGCATGAAGAAATAAATGATTACGCCACTTAGCTGGGTAACTATGACCCCGCTCCCCAGCTTCACGGTCTGCTTGAGATTTCTGTTTCAGAGCTTGTGACAAACCATTTACTAGTTGACCATTTACTGTTTGTTCTTCACTCATTGCTTAAATTCTACTTTTTCCTTGAGAGACTTGATTAATATTAATTAATTTTAACTAGACCTGTACAGGATACAGAATATTTTCTAGGAATTTCTAATATTCTGACATTTCATTGAGATACAGGAGGAAGAAAAAAAGTAATCCATATTTCAAAATTTTCCTTGTAACAGCGTGTCAAACAAATCTAAATATAGGACATCGGAATCTTTAGTTTAGCAATGCTGAAATTTTACATTGTGAAAATATTTATATACTGTATACTAAATAAAATATTCTAATATTGTGTTATAAATATAGTGCAAGTACAATACAAAGCCAAAATAAAAAGAATTTAAATGACAAACCACTATTAAACACTTTAGCTGTAGAGATAAATAAATTTTTACACTATGAAAACAGTTTTTTTCAATGTGAGGCTATATTTCAATTAACTGTTTTTATTGCAAATTTTGGCAACTTTCAATTTAGCTGAACTGCATTTATGTGACATCAATCTCTTCTGTCAAAAAAATTATCAGTTCTATTTCCAGTGTACAACACCAGTAATTCTAACACTCAGAAGATTCTTCACTTTTCTTTGCCAGACCCTTTCTTAGAAATTAGAAATGACAGATAAGATTTGTGAGAGAAAAGGATACTTTCTGTACATACAGCCCAAGGGCAAAAGAAAAAGTCAACATCCTCCGCATGGATTTTTACTAGCTATTGTCTTTGTTTTCTCTGTATCCCCTCTCATCTTATTAAGCCTGAATCCTCTTCAATTGCTCTCCATGAGTATATTTTTCAAAAGGAAAGAATGCCCTTAATAAAACCTTTGGGAAACCCAGGGGTGTAATGAAAGTGTTCTTTATATTAATCAAACAGTAACAAAGCCAATCCATTCACCATGCATGGACTCAGAACTCCATAGCATCCAAAAGTCTGTAAAACACCAATGAAAATAACTTATTTTGTGTCAGTATATGAATGTAATGAAAAATAGAATTAGAATCTTATAAAAAAATCTCTCACTGGTCCAACCACAACTGGTTTCTAACTGTAGCACTGCAATGTCAGCACCTTGCAAGTGATACAAGTGTAAGCCCAGAACAAAAACTGAGATATTTCACACATGACACATCTCTATATGCTTAAACACCTTGTACATGAATTTATTTTTTAGGGGAACATCTGAATTTCATCTTCTGGAAACTGGATTCTTCTGCAGCACCACAGCAGAACGGTCCACCACACCTGCGTATCAGTTTAATAATGCATATCAGGCTTGGAATGTATTTAAAACTCCCTCTGTATTCATTCCTCAATGTACGCTTTGACTATTAGCAATATGAATACTGCAGTTAATTCCTCAGTTTTTTTCTTTTCCAAATTTGACCATGAAGAAGTTGGCACTTGATGGTTTTTGGACTAAAATCTTACATTCCGTCAAAGTGGGTGATTTTTGAGAAACTTATAAAATACGTAATTGTTGCACACATATAGTGGAAAATTTTGTTCTTTAACTGAGTTTTCACTTAAGTTAATAACGATCCTGCTGTATTGTACAAGAATTCTGTATTGGGTTACTCGCTGATGGTAGTAAGTTGGTTTTCAAAGGATGCCAAAGCTTCCAAATCAGCACTTCAAAAAGCAGGTTAACATTCTGTAGACGGTAAGTGCAGAAAATAAACACAAACAGCGATTTGTCCTGACAGTGATTCACCTCAGCTTGCTGCATATTTCAAATAACTAAGAAAGCGATATTCCCTTGTCTGTTTACCATAAACTCATTACAAAGACTTCTCTCAACTTAATTTAAATACAGTAAATTATTGCAGTCATTTCACTCTTTTTCCTGCTCACAAATTGCTTGCAAGCTGATCCTGCTTTTCCTCAAATATATTCACTATCTCTACTTATTTATTGGTATTATAATTACTCATGCAATTCCCATTGAATTGGGGTTTTTTTATGTAGTTGGGAAATTACTCCAGCAATGAGCAAGAAGCAGCCAAGAATGAGGAGCAATCAGGAGCAGAGGCAGGACATTCATACACTACTACCTTTTATCCTGCAATATTTTTTTCATGAATAACAACCATTTATTCAGCTTGTAACCCAAACCCATGTGAGTGTGTGTCTGCAAGTAGTAAAGCAAAGGGGAGATGTATGGATGATTCCAGTGGCTTTTTGGAGTCAAAGAAATGTGGATGAACAAATACCCCTAAGCCTCTCTATATTTTAGCAACTCTAATATTTTAGAGTTGCTGAGTTAGAAATTCCTGGTCGTGAGGATGAATGTGACGATTCCCCTCTGAAGCTGCCCCTGGGACAGCACAGCACCCCTGAGGATGCAGCCTGCCTCGCACCCATCACTGGGCTCATGGTCCAGTTCTGAAGGGTCCAGCTCTGCAAGGACTCATGTTTTGCCACTATTCCTCATTGGAAAGGGATGTCTTGTCACTACGGTAGGGAGACATCAGGATTGGGGTGTATATTCTGTGGCTCAGTTATGTTGTGTCTCAGATTGCCACATCTGCTCTGCACACTAATGGGACAAATCAGCCTCTGCCCCTGAAGAAAACAGAAACCACTGTTTTCCTCTTGCAAGCAGGAAGGATGGAGGCTGAAGCCCAGTACTGTGCAGGTCCTTTGACAGCACCTAGGGTCCAAACCAGGTCCACCGCTGCACTCACCGTCACCCTCCCCATCCATCACTCAGGTGAGCATCTCCTTTCTCCCCAGCCTTCCCTGGAGGCTCTCAGCAAAAGTCATTGCAGCTGCCTGAGAAAGGAAAAATCGCCAAAATAAACACTGCTCCCACACATCTCTCATCTGTCTTCTCACACGCGGTGGGCATGAAGGAAAGGAGTTTTCTTTTCTTGC